TTTGTCCTTAAAATAAGAAATTCCTCATTTTTCTCCTTAAAATAAGGAAATCCATGTTTTATTGTGTTTTCCCATGGCGATGAGAAAACCCAGATCCCTGCTGATGATTAGCAATCATTTAAAGGACTTCTGATTTTTTAAGTATATTAATAAGAAAAATAACTTACCATTCTTTCACAGTTACCTCTGTAATCCCTTCTCCAATATCAGAAAGCTTAAATTGGACAATTTGGCCCTTTGAAACTTGAAATAGAAAAATGGGACAAAAATATCAAGTTAAATATTAAATTTAAATTATCACAAAGAAAAATATTAATGTACCAAAAACTAGATTATATACTAATTAGTAATAACTGGACTACTAATATAACATATAAAACAGTAGTATAAAGTAAGTTACATAAATAAGAAAAAAAAACTTACTAGCAGATGTTCTGAACAATCTGTGTTGATGATTAAACTTAAAGGCAGATTTGTCAAATGCGTACACGTATTTTGACTTCAGAAAGCAAACACTGCTATACGATCTAGTATGGCAAACACAGATCTGGGGGAGATAAATCTTAAGTATTAAAATGGTAGACTAAGAAAATCAGAGCTTGTTCATATCTCTTGGGTACAGCAGTAGTTACAGTGAAACATTTTAATTCCCTTTAAATAGCCTTTTACAGTTGTACAGATACAAACTTAATGCGAGTTCTGCCATATGTCCTTAATTAATTTTACCAATACAGCACCTGGAAAGTCAAAACCCTCATGAACAGCAAAGCATTTCAGCATCATTACTTAAGAAAAAATTTGACAATATTATCAAAAGATGCATATCAATTGCTTAGAGAAACTATAGCAACTTTATATTTTACAGGGATTACACACAAAAAGCACAGACTATACTAATTACATCAGCCACATCAAAAATTAATATTAGAAAGAGTTCCAAAAATGAGTTAGAGGAAACCACAATGTCCGTCCTTGTCTTCTATTAAAAAGATCAAAGGATGCTCAGACATATTCATTATCAAGAAATCTGCTAAGGACACAGCCAATTGCCTCTCTATTTCCCTTTAAAAACAATCTAGAATTGGCATATACTATGAGCTAAGTATTCTGTAGTATCAGTATAATTTCAGCTACAATTGGGCATGTTTCATTTTATAGTTGCAGTTACACACGCTCAAAATCTAGTTTATAGGTCAATACAATATGCTGCAGTGTTCTTCATTATAAAGACAATGAATAACCAGTGGCAGTGATTTTGGTCAAAACTAAAGTCAACAGTACTTCTACAGAAGTAAAGAGGTGTGTTATCTTTAATCTCAATAGGGATTAAAATCAGGCTTTTACAAAAAAAGACCGTTTCTCACTTAGCATGGTTATTTTTATATAATTTAATTATAGTGTTATGTTATTTTAAAACAATAAAAAATAATCTAACAAAAATAACTTTAAATAAAACTACCAAAATGTACTACAAATTTTCAGGTAGTACCATAACACCTCAAGCAGCCCAGACTGTAAAATTTAGAAATTATCTTCTGTGAGATTCCAAAAAACAGGATATCTACATAGGAAAGTTGGTTTTAATATTTTATTTGATATTATAAAACATTATTATTATATTTTTATGTTACTCCTTATTTCAGACAAATGGCAAAGCATATTAACTTCCCAACTGTCACTCTAGAAGAGAGGAAAGAATTTGTTTTTATGGTGCACCTTAATATGCAAGAATACTATGCCATGTTGAGTTAGATACCATCTATATTTCCTACATTACCTGTATAATAAGACCCAACATACAAATCATCTATAGTCATTTTCTTACTTTTCAGAAACAAATATTTGTGTAGTACAGGCTAACTCTAATGACACTCCAATGTCACATTCTTTTACCTTCCAGTTGCTTAAACTAGTCTCTGCTGAGCTTGAATGGGTGTTTTATTAATTCCTCCTATGAAAAAGTAGTGATCCCTGTACCCTTCTTGCCAATTGTAATGAAAAAAATTAGCAAATAGATATTAACAAACTATAATACTATTTGCTTTATTAGCAGATTTAAAAAAATATGATAAAGGAACATAGTCTGAGATTTACTTTTCTGTCTTCGTGATTTTTTTCTTTTATCTTGCCATTTTTTTATTTTCCATTTGAGCACATGGCTGTATTGCTTGGTTAGCTAAGTTTATCCATTCAGAATATACAACAAAACTCTTAACCCCTTATAAGCCCCTACCTGGAAATGCCCAGTATTTACCTGTGTAGATGATCACAAGCAGCAGCCTCAAACCTCTGAACTATCACTAAATGAAGTTTCATGAATGCTTTCCATGTGATTTTAACATTTGGCAATCATTGGAGATAGTGAATTAGTAATATCACTGCCAAAAAAAGAGACTGGTTGTGTTACAGAAGAGTTTCTCTCTTAACTCAACATTTGTAGGATTAATTCAAAACTACTGAAATCTAATATACTTAACCTAGATTTGGTTTTTAAAACTACACATTTTTTACTAGAAACACTTAGTATGTCAAATCATAGAGTATTAAGATCCTTTCATCCTGAAGTGTTCTTTTTTTGACCTTGTGATAAAATCAAATCCACAAGCTAAAGCAGCTGATAATTTTACTAAGTATTTTTTCCTGCTTCATGAAACAAAATACAAAGTAATATTAACATAACACATGAAATACACTATTCATACTGTACTAGATGTACATTTAACTAATCCAATAAATACCAAATTGAATGTTGTGTGTCAGAAGATTAAGCACATTTATAAATTCTTGTAGGATCATCTAGCCCAATTTCAGACCAACTGAAAATAAACTTTGCATCTATAAGGCTGTAAGCTGTAGAGAAAAACAAGTATTTCAAAGGTAATAATATTTACATCCTAACAGAAAAGCCATATGTAACGACTGCAAAGGTTTGACAACAGCTGTCCCATGCAAATGTTAAATGATTCTTAAAGTACAGGAGCTTATGATTTGACCTACAAGACCCAGTGTCCCCAGGAGTGCAAACACTATTTAAGCTGAAACTGTTTTCGATAATGGTTCCTACCATATGCAATTTTGTTCCTGGTTCCTTAGACTGGTAGGGCACATCCAGACGAGCATGATTGTGCAGCATGTGGCACTGCAAACACATCTGCAACACCACATACTGCACAGTCCAGTACTCTCCATACTGCAAGAGTGCGCTGCCTGAGCATGCTCTGCTCCATTTTTTTCCCATGATTTCTTTTGACCCCTGGATATCCTGGCCTCCCCTACTGCCTCCAGCCAAGGCAACTTGCAGCATGCCAAAGTGCATGTGGCACAGGCGTTCCCCAGGAACAAGCAGCTGCAGCACAAGGTGCACCGTTGCTGCTTCTCCCCAGGGAACCAAATGTCCACGCACATCTGGACATGCCTGTAAGAAGCCTAATGTGCCTTTTTATTATTATTATTATTATTATTATTTACAGCAAAAGAGACTCTGCTGGCAGCTTCACAGAGGCAATGCATGCCATGTTGCCTGCATGCTCTGATTACCAACATAAAGCCTACCTAAAAGGTACCACTGACTGGGGAAAACTTCAGCTAGCACAGACTATAACTACTCTCTTGAACCCCACTTCTATTCATGTCTTTGCACTGACCGTTCCGGTACAGGCACATTTCAAGGTGCTTTGTTGATCCATGCAAATCCAAATTAAGTTCTGGGACTCAGTTATCTGAGATCACCTCTTGCTGTCTACCCAGCCATAGAATTTAAGACAACCAGGAAGCACTTGATCTCCAAATCAAAAGGAGCACGCTGTTTAGCAGTAGGCCTCTCTCTGGAACACGCGTGTCTTGGCAGCTTCACAAAACTCAAATTCAGGATCAGTCAGGTTTTAGGACTAGGACAAGGAGTAATGGGCACAAGTTGATGGAGAGGAGGTACAGATTGGACATCCGAAAAAACTACTTCACAGTTAGGGCGGCTAGGAGCTGGAACCAACTTCCAAGGGAGGTGGTGCTGGCCCCTACCCTGGGGATCTTTAAGAAGAGGCTGGATACCTACCTGGCTGGACTCATTTGAGTCCCGTTTTTGTTTTTAGAGTGTTTTTGTTTGTTTGTTTGTTTGTTTGTTGTTGTTGTTCTCCCGCCCTGGCGGGGGGTCGGGCTAGAAGATCTATTAGGTCCCTTCCGACCCTAAAACTATGAAACTATGACTATCTGACTAATATTTTTGTTCTTATTTTGCATAAACTCTCTCTATATAAAAGTGCATATCCTCCTTTATAGAAATCAGCAAAACAAAACTATTAAAATGATTTTTTTAGAACAAATATGAGTATCCTCCAAAAGAGAAGATATGAAGATGTCTCAAATAAGCAGCCAGTGATAAATTACAGGTGCACAACAGCTCCTAATCATTTTCATTTTATCAGAGATTCCCTCTGGAGATGGAAAGCAGGCAGCTTGGTTGGGAAGAAGACTAATAAAGCAATGTACAGAAAGAAGGATGTGGACAGTTTGGAGAGTCCAGCACAGAACAACAAAAAATGAGAAGACCTGGGAGGTAAGACTTATGAAGAAAAGCTGAAAGAACCAGGGTTAGTTAGTCTGGAGAACAGAAGACTGGGGGATGATTTGATAGTAGTCTTCAAATACCTGAAGGGCAATTAAATAGAGGATAGAGATGGGCTTTTCTCTGTTACTGTAGGGGACAGGACTAGGAGCAATGGCCTCGAGCTTCTGCAGGGGAAATTTAGGTTGAAGATCAGGAGGAAATTTCTGACTATGGTGTTCAAGCATTGGAACAGGCTACCTGCAGAAATGTGGAACTGCCATCCCTCAGAAGTTTTCAAGAGCAGGTTAGTCAACACCTGCCTGGGATGGTTTGGTCAGGGATGAATGATCCTGCCTTGAGTAGGGGGCTGGACTAGATGACTCTGTGGGGTCTCTTCCAGGCCTACGTTCTTCTGACCCTATGAGTCCATTGGCATTTTCAGAAAATGCTCTGACTACTGAAGTGGGCAAAATATTATTTGAAACTGAGATATTACAAGACGTGTCTATTAAAACTCACTGGCAAATTCTTCAATAAAAAACTGGCATAGTTTCTGGAGCGCACATTAAACACAAGACGAAGTGGCAAACTTTGTAGGTCTACTTATAGAGCAAAAAAAATCCACTTCTCAAAGCATCCAGGGCAGATGTTCCCTTTAAATGTCTCTGTTCCCGTAACCCCCTCCTGGGATAGTCCTGCTACTGAGGTTGCCTGGGAAGCTTCAGTGTTGCGAAGTAAAATAATGCAAACTAGGGACGGAAGCGGCGTATCACAAAGTGCACTCCCAGACTCGACACAGAGCAGAGCACATCGGTCAGTGCCTACCGGCCCACAACCAAGTCCAAGGAGCCCGCGGATGAGACAGCGACAGCTCTACAGTCCCCGGGGCCCCGCACCATCCGAAGCCTCCTTCTCGGTCTGACAGCCAGCCAACCGAGCTACAGCCACGAGGTCCCGGGACTTGGATGGGGAGCACGTAAGGGAAAAGCTGCGGGGACGCCAGGAGGCCGTGGAGGGAGGGCTGCAGCCCGGCGGGCACCCGGATCTCGCTCTGCTGACAGGTCCGGGGCGCACCCGGCTGCGAGAGCGGCAAGAGCCGGCGGGTGGCCTTCTTGTGTGAGGGCGGGGGCCGCGCGGCCGGGCCCGGCAGAGGGGTCGGGGGTGGCTCCTCCCGGGGCTGACCGGGCCGGGAGTCCCCCGCTGGGAGCTGGCGCCACGCCCCGCGCACCTCCCCTCTGAGAGCCAATCAGAAGGCAGTGTCGCCAACAGCAGCTAATCAGAAAACCCAAGATCAGCCCGCCCTGACTCGCAGCAGCCAATCCGCGGCTCGAGAGGCGGGGACAAGCCGCGGGGAGAGGCCGTGTTTGGGCCGCAGCGGGAGAGGGCGGAGCCGTGCGGAGAGCTCAAGCCCGCGACTGCGGGCTCGGTTGGACTAGGGTCCCTGCTGAAAGGAGCGGGCAAGCGCACTGAGCGCCCGTTGCGGGGGAAAATCTGGTACCAATGCGGATTTGGGGGCCGCCGAAATTGGCGGGGCGCCTTCAGTGACCGAGTTCCTGTGCCCATCGCAGACCGGGGAAGTTCCCTTCACAAGGGAATTTAGCCTGGAATTTCGGCAGCCCCCAAATCCCATCAGTGCCAGATCTTGTCCCCCGCAATGCCTCACCGTGGAGGCTTGACCCGGGACAATATAGTTAAAGGCACACCCCCGTGAGAGACCTGGGCAGGGAGAAGAGCTAAGAACACCCTTCCCCCCCCCTGCCTTTTGACATTGCGAGACAGCATCACTTGTCTGGAGCCCAAACAAACAAACAAACAAGAGCCCCCGCCCCCAAATGACAATTTTAGTTTTTACAGCTTAAGCCAGTAAAGGGTGGATCTAGACTTTTGGAAAGGGGTTGCATCATTGCATGTAAAACACCACATATATTTCTCCTGTTAAAAAGGAACTGGAAGCTTTCGTAATACTCTAGGGACCTAGGGCCGTATTATTCGGTTGAAGACTGAAGCAAAAACAAATATAACTTCACTGGAATTGAGTTAGAAACAATCTGCAGGGCTGTGAACTAGGAGCTTCCTGACCAGGAGCAGCTCACAGGCAGCGGCATTGCAGAACAAAGGACGGCTTGATCAGTGGAGCATCAAGACCATTAGAAAGAGGAGAGGGTTGTTAACACCGTGGGATGAAGAGGGGTTTAGTGGGGTCAAGGAGGTTATAAAAACCAGGCAGTCAACTGACTCCGTCAGCACTGCCTGACTAGAAAGGCTGCAGTCTCAGCCAGGCAGGTGGTTTTACAC